GACGACGACGACGACGACGCTCGCGAGACCTCGTCGGGGCCCTTGTGGGCCCTGTTGGCCTCGGGACCTCCCCCGGGACGCCCCCCCCGACCGCCCCCAACGATCCCCTCCTGGGACCGTTCCCTCCGGCGGGGAAGGGATCACGGGCCTCCCCTTCGACTTGATTGGTGTACTCCCTACTGCGGCTCTGTGGGGCTCCCTTGGGCCAGCTTGGTCGGAAGGGGGGGAGGTGATGACCCCAGGGACCCCCCCCAGGGGGGGGGAACCGGAAATGGGACAAATCACTACCAACTAGAACCAATTCCAACCACCTTAATATACATGGCAACCCCGTTGGTACTACTTACAACCGTTCGAAGGACAATTCCAACCACTCTGTATGATCGTCTTGCTGGCGTCTTACTGGCGTCTTATCGACGTCTTAGAAGCGTTGCACGGGCGTCTTAGAAACGTCGGGCAGGTGTCTTTGAGGCGTCGTGCGGGTGTCTTAAAGGCTTCGTGCGGGCTTAAGGACGTCGTGTGGGCGTCTTAGAAGCGCCGCGCGGGCGTCTGCGTCACGTCGTGCGGGCGTCTTCAGAAAGCTCCCAGGGGCTTTTGAGAAGCCTCCTGAGGCTTCGGAGAAGCCTCCAGAGGCTTCTGAGAAGCCTCCAGAGGCTTCTGAGAAGCTCGCAGAGGCTTTTGAACAACTCCCAGAGGCTTCTGAATAGCTCCCCGAGGCTTCTGAGAAGCTCCCAGAGGCTTCTGAGAAGCCTCTGGAGGCTGTCGAGGAAGCCTCCAGAAGCCTTTTCCCAGACGCTTCTGAGAAGCCTCCCAGGGCTCAAGAGAAACTCCCGCAGGCCTTTGAGAAGCTCCCAGGGGAGTCGGATAGATTCTGAGGGATTCGGAAGGATGAGAAAGGAAAGGAGGAGGAGCAGGATGAGGAGGAGGAGGAGGAGGAGGAGGAGGAGGAGGAGGAGGAGGGGGAGGCGGAGAGAGTGGGAGGCGGAGGGAGGAGGAGGAGGAGGAGGAGGAGGAGGAGGAGGAGCCCCTCGCCCCTGCAGAGGCAGGACGAACGGGGGTAGAGAGGGGCTTGCAGCCTTGCAGAGGCAGGGTTCGCCCCTCGCTTGGGCTGGCCGCACAGCCGGGCGAGGGATGTGTGCGCGCGAGAAGCAGGCAGCGCGGCGCAGAGGGATCTAGAGGTCTGAGCGCATGGCAAAAGGAGGAAGAGGAGGAGGAGGAGGAGGAGGAGGAGGAGGAGGAGGAGGAGGAGGAGCGGGATGAGCGGGAGGCGGATTATGATGATGCCGATGAACGTGAGGAGTGAGAACGACGAGGAAGTGGGAGGAGGGTTAGCAGGTGGGGGAGGAGGAAGATTCGGAGGAAAAGGGGGAGAAGGGTTGTGCGGTCGGAAGGCAACATGTAAGGACTAAGAAGGGTGGGAGGCCGAAGGCAGGGGCGTTCCCGCGCACCCCCGACAGCTAGGAATGAGCGGGGCTACTGCGGCGACAGTCGATCGCAAGCTGTCCGCGTAAGTTCGCGCGAAAGCGCCCTGTCGTTCACGCTGCCCGCCGCGCAACCCACTCCCGTTGGCCAGTGCTTGTTGTGATGTCTCGCGTGAACACGTTTCTTCTCGTTGCCCCGCTTTCGGGCGATTTTGTGTAGAGGCTGGCTCCTCCGGAATTCCCACTGCTTCCCATGTCACCTGTTGGTGCCCACAGCTACCTATGTCACCTGCTGGCGCGCGAAGATAGTCGCGCCTCGCGCTTCACTGACTGGGCTGGGCTCTTGTCTTTTACCAGCAGGCGGCCCGATATCGCAACGAACCGCCATTATTGTCACCGTCATCGCAGCCGCGGGCTCGAGCAGCCCTATTCCCCGACGTGGCGAGGTGCGGCGTCGCCGCCCAGTCGCCGAACCGCTGGCCTCCAAGCTTCCTGGTGATCATGATCTTCTAAACTATTATTATGATGATGGTGGTGGTGATGGCGGCGATGATACAGATGATGATGATGCTGATGCTGATGATGGGTGATCTTGACGAGATGGATGATGCTGGTGATGAAGAAGAAGGGTGATACTAATGAGGATGATGTTGATGATGCTGATGCTGATGATGATGGTGGTGGTGATGGCAAGGATGTTGCTGTTGATGACCATGCTACTGATAACGATGAGGATGTCGACCCCCCCCAGGACCCCCCCTGTCACACACACACACACCCACGGCTTGGAGATGGGATCAAAGGGAAGGGGCTTCCCTCCGAACCACTCACGACGTTGTTTGATTTTCGTCTGGCTGGGTCGCTTGAGGAGGAGGGCCGAGGGAAAGGGGGAGAACGGCGACGACGACGACGACGACTCAAACAGAAGCACGCCTCACACACGCCAACAGGGTCGGCGGATTTTGCGTGGTTGCACTCGCACGATCGGGTCGGAGATGCAGCGGCCGCCGGCCCTGTGACATTCAGCTTTTGATTGGGGTCTTACCGCAGGCTACTCAAACGACAAGCATGTTTTTATGTACAGAGAGGGCCTGGGTTGTTTTGTTTGTTGCATCAGTATACCGCGCCCTCAGATGGCAGCATTCGGCCCGATGTCTTGACATCGCCCCTCGTTTTAGACAATCCCATTGCATACAGAGGCAACGCACAATCCATACTCCATGGTGTGCGCGCATTTTGCGCGTCGCGCATTTGCAGCATTGTCTCTCAATCTCCCCCTCCCCGACGTCGCGCGTCGCTCCCTCATCCGCTCGCGGTTCTGATGTGGTGAGATCCCCCCCCGCCTGTCGAGGCTGGTTGCGGCGGCCGCGGCCGTGGCGAGGTGCTGCGGCGCCAGGGAGAGGGTGAGCATGAGGGAGGGGAGGAGCAGGGGTGCGATGAGGGGACGACAGGCAGCAAACTGGCGCAGAACTGATCTACCCTCGAGTCTCGACCTCGATCCTCGACCACCGATCCTCGACCACCCATCCTCGACCACCCATCCTCGATCATCGACCCTCGACCATCGATCCTCCATCATCGGCTGTCGATCCTTGACCATCGATTCTCGACCACCGACCCCCGACCACCGACCTTACACCATCGATCCTCCACTAGCGATCCTCGACCATCGGTCCTCGAACCTCGACCCTCGACCAACGATTCGACCACCGACCCTCGACTACCGAGCCTCGATCCTGGACCATCGACGTTCGACCACCGACCCTCGATCCCCGACCAACAGGCTCTCGACCAACAGGCTCGCGATCCTCAGTGGGCGACCGCGGCGGCGACGGCGGCGGCCCGCCGCAGCCCTGGCCGAAGGGGCGCGCGCCGCGCCCCCCTCGCGCGGAGGGCGCGGCGCCCGCGCGGCCGGATGGCCGAGGCCGCGTCGCCCCTGACCGAGGGCGCTCGGGGGGGGCCAAAGGTTCGAATGATCGACTGCGAAGGCCTGACGGCCGGTGCCGCCGGCCCTGTTCGCTATGACGGGGAGGAGGAGGAGGAGGAGGAGGAGGAGGAGGAGGAGGAGGAGGAGGAGGAGGAGGAGGAGGAGGAGGAGGCGGAGGCGGAGGAGGAGGAGGAGGAGGAGGCATAGGCGGAAGAGGAGGAGGAGGAGGAGGAGAAGGCGGAGGAGGCGCAGGAGGAGGAGGAGCAGGAGGAGGAGGCGGAGGAGGAGGAGGAGGAGGAGGAGGAGAAGGAGGAGGAGGAGGAGTTCTTCTCTCCACCCCAGGGAGGAACCGGCGCCATGCGCGAGCCGCGCACGGCGCTTGAAACGGCACGGCGCGGGCGACGTGCACGGCAAGCTTCAAGCCAGGGTATGTAACAGCGCCATTTGAGACCCCAGGAGTGGATCTTGGAGGGCGCACGCCACACCCCTGCGCGGACGGCCCGACCCGCTCCGAGGAAGGCCAGCAGCTTACCGCGCTCGCAGTCCTTGAGCTCTCCGCTTGACTCGTTCAACAGCGCCGACTCGTTCTCCATGGCCTTCATCATGGTGGGTGTGACGATGCCCTACGCCCCCTTCTGCTTCCCAAGAATGCCTGCGCACGTGTGTTCAGGCTGGTTCAGCCAGAGGAGGGTGTCCTGCACCACCTTCTCGATCTTCATTTTTTTACCGTTTGCGAAATCGTGCAGCTTCTCCTCCTGTAGGAAATTGCGGATGGTGAAGCAGTAGTTCACGAGGCCGAGCTTCGCTGCGGACTCAGCCTGGTCCAAATGCAGCCTCGCCTTCGGCTGCCACTCGAAGGCCGCTGCCACCTTGTCGATCTGGTCGCCGCCCTCCTCCTCCTCCTCCTCCTCCTCCTCCTCCTCCTCCATGTCCTCCTGGTGCTGTGGCACCCCCGTCGGCACCAGCTTCCAGTTGTCCGTGGACGACGTGATGATCGGGCCGACGAAGCCCTCCAGCTCCTTCAGCTTGCTCCCGCAACCGAAGGCGCCCGCAGTGTCCTGCAGGGTAAGCCACTGGAGGGTGTCCGTCACCGCCTTCTCGATCTCCACTTGGTTGCCGTACGCAATGAGACCCTGCATTTTCTCATCCAACACGGAGTTGCGACTGGTGTAGTAGTAGCTCTTGAGGTCGGGCTTGGCCTCCGTCTCGGCGGGGGGTGGGTGCGGGGGAAGGAATATATATATATATAGAGAGAGAGAGAGAGAACAAAAAATAAAAGAAAAAGAGCATGAGGGGGTGATGAAACGTCGGTGGGGAAGGTTGTTGTGGGGGTATTTCCCCCACACCCTCCCCCCGCCTCGTCTCGGACCAGGGGCACTCAGGGGGGCAACGATCCGAACGAGTGACTGTCCAGGAAAGAAGCACGCCGACCATGCCCCCCTCGAATCGCGACAAACATCGCGACGGGAAGTTTTTTGCTACCTTCGGCCTCCAGGGGCCTTCGTGGGGACTCGGGGCCGTGGAACAACGATTCAATATGATAAGCCGCCCCCAGGGAATTGGTCGAGACCTCTGGGGGTCGACGTTGTGAACAGTTCATGATGCCTGGGGTCTAGGGAAGAAGCGCGATGGCCATGACAAAGATCTCGCCAGATCTAGTGGACGCCCATCTTGGTCATGGTCCTTGCGGGCCCTCGCCGATTCGCGAGGATGATCTATGACTTGACCGACAGTGACCAAGAGAGACGGTGACCAAGTTTGACACCGACGTGTCCGTGTTCAGTCTTGGTCACGGTCACCCTGTGTTTTCCTTCCAGACTTGGTGGTTCCCTGAGATCCGGGCGTCGCATTTTTTTCACACCAGGCGTCTTTGGGCGGTTTCGGCCCCCGGGGCCATCACATATTGATCCGGTTCGAATCGTGCCGCAGAAAGATAGGGTCTGGTGCCCCTGGCGTGTTTTTTCACGATGTTGCTTTTCGTGACGTCGGATCTCCGTGCGATAGCGGTTGCTGCTGCTGTCTGCTTGCGCAGGTCCTAGGCCTCCTCTCGTCGTGGACGAACAAGCCCAGCGGAAGGCTTTCTTTGCTGTCATCGTCGGCCTCCCAGGGCCTTCGCTGGGCCTCGGGACCGCCAGGCACGGCTCGGGATGAAAAGCCAGTCTCGAGGAGGAGGTCTCGACTTCCTTGGGGCCACGGTGTGACAAAAATCACGGCGCCGAATACTTAGTTAGAAGCTACCCAAACACGACGAGCCACCCGTAAGCCAGATGTGCGACGCATCCAAGCGGAGTTGTCTTCACTGGCGTTGGCGCGTAAGCGTCCCGCGTAAGGTCGCGCGTAAGCGCCCTCGTTGCCAATGTGGCGTGAGGAGGAGGAGAAGGAGGAGGAGGAGGAGGAGGAGGAGGAGGAGCTGGCGGCTCTCGTACTCCACCGCGTGAGGTCGCCATGTCAACGTGCGTCAGGCCCCTTTCTTCTCGTCGCTCACATGGTGGTTGGCCGGCTCTAAAGGCTGCCCGCCCAGGACCCCTGCCCCACTAACCACGAATTGGGATCTCGGAGTGATGGTTTGATGTTTCGGGTCTTTGCTTCTCCTCCTCCTCCTCCTCCGCCTCCTCCTCCTTCTCCTCCTCCTCCTCGGGTCCTTGCTCCTTCCTGCCTATATTTCGTTGAGTCTGTTCAGTGTGGGAGTTGTTCGCGACGCCACCGCCAAATGACATGCGACAGAAATAGGTTTTCGCGGGCGAGCGATCAGTCTATTAGCACCCTGACACATCTCGATAGCGCACCGAGGGCACTTGGTGGTTCACGAAAGAGAGCGTCGCAATAATGATAGAGGTCACGCAGTTAAATATCTCGTATCCAGGGCCATTGAGGCGGCCTCGTCGCCAACTCTTAGCTTGCGGCAGCGAAGAACACACTGGCAGTATGCGGACCTTTCGACATGTTTTTGCACGCCAGGCCAACCACCAGCGCCCCGCCCACCGCTCCTGAAGCAAGGGCGCCCTCGAGGGCGCGAAGTTAGTCGCGCTTCGCGGTTCGGCTCCGATTCCTCCTCATCCTCCTCTTCTCCCCTGGGAGGCGGCGCGAGAGCGCGAAGTTGTTCGCACTTCGCGCTTCGCGCAGCGCGAAGCGCCAAGCTGGGAGCCCTTGGGTGGGGCATCGACCCTCGACAGCCGAGCACCGGGCCTCCCGTGGCGAAGGCCTCGGGCAGAGACCTGCTGCCGTGCCCTTCCTCCGCGGGGGGGGCCCTCGCTCCGGGCCACGGGGCCGTCAGAGCGCTCGGGAGGGCGCGCCGGGCCCGGGGCAGGGATCCAGACCTCTTGGGATCGACCAGACGTAAGAGTGACCTTTCGCCGGAGTGACATTTGGTGCGGGCACAGATGGGTCCCCAGATGGCTGAAAACGAAACAGGAGCAACGGCTTGCGCGCCCAGGTTTGGCCCCCCGCGGCCCCCAAAAAGCCGCGCACCAAAGGTTACTCGTCACTCTTACCCAGGGTCACTCCTGCGTGTAGCCGATGGGAGCCACGCCGCGAACAATCGCGACGTCGGATGTCTGGGACCGCCCGTCGCCCACCTGCCTCGCCAAGCGGGGCCCTTGGGCGCCCCAGCCTGCCCGGGGGCCCTCGGTTCTGCCGTCGAGGGCCTCCTCGCCGATCTCTCGGCGATGCCTCGCCGGCTTCAAGCCAAGGCTTCCCCGCTCCCTGAGCCGTCCCCTGGTACAGTCGGGGCGCTGAAGAAGGCACCCTTTGCGTTGGGGAGGGGCTCCGTGTTGCTTGACTGCTTCACAGCTTGTCTCAGGTTTTCCCCAGGTTTCCGATGGGAAGTGGAAGCTTAACTTGTGGAAAAAAAGGGGGCCTCGCTCCTCATTCAGGGTTCCTTAGGTCAGCGCCCCGACTGCAAGGCTTCGGGTTGCGCACAGACAGCCACCCAGGTAGTCCTGGCTGGACCCCCTGAGTAGCCCGGGGCGGCCTCAGCACCGCAAGCCTGGGGCGCTCCGCGCCCCAGGGGGCGCCGCCAGAGGCGGCGCCAGGCGGTACACTGGGGCGGCCCAGCGTTACCTGGGGGAGGCTGCCTGCCGGTGCGCAACCGGAAGCCTTACCACGGCCCACCCCCGTTCTTGCTGTGCCCCCTTCAGGCGCGACCCCGTCGCGGCGGTCGCTCGCGGGCGTCCTGAGGGCAAGGCGGCGCTCCGACGAGAACTTGGGCCAAGGCGCCGCCGCCGTCGACCGTCGTTACCGTTTGTTGCGGCCGCCACCGCCGCCGCCGTTTGTCATCGTCTTCGCCGCCCATCGAGGGTCGATGGTCGAGGGTCGAAGTTGCTGAGCCTTTTTGCTGCATGGTGATCGAGGCCCCTGGAGGTCTCCAGAGCCCTCCGCGGAACATGAGGACGACACGCAAAGTCGCTCGTCGTCGCTAATGGTCGTTAGTTGTCGTCGTCGTTCGTCGCCGCCGCCACCGTCTGTCGTTAGTTGTCGTCGTCGTTCGTCGCCGCCGCCACGTCGTGAGTCATCCAGACTTTGAACGCAGCGCTCTTTCTGGATGCAACCTATGGCTCGCCGAGGCTGGAGCCACCTAACATGTCGTAGCTGGGCGAATGCCAGTGGTAACAATGCACAAGAGCATTCATGATAATTAGAGGTAGTCGGACATGGCGAGGAAACGGCGAGGCCGGTCTGCGGCAGGGTTGCCTGCCGACGTCCCTGGACGAGTTCGGTGTCTTTGCGCTGGACGACCTGGGCGTGTTCTGATCTCCTTCCTCCTGGTCCAACAGTGAGCCGAGGATGTAAACATCGGCGACAAGCCTGCCGTGGAATGAACAGGGTCAGGAGGGGAAAAACACACAGACACAATGAATCGTCGATTCCCAGGAAAACATGGGAAACTATGGGAAGTGGGGGGAAGACAAAAAAAACAGAAAAGATGATAACATATGGGGAATTGTTTTATTTGTGTGTATTTATTTGTGTGTCCAAGGGCCCCTACACGGGGCGAGCCTCCTCAAGAAGGCTCGGAGGGCCTCCGGCCTTCTGCAGCCTTACTGAGCCTTCGCCGGAGACCGCGACGGCTTCGCAGGACGTCGGAGGGCTTCAGGGCAGCCCGTGCCGCCTTCTGAGAATGCCTGCCCCCTCCTCACTCGGGGGCGGCAAAGAGGGGGGTGATGACTAGGGGGGGGGGGAGGGGAATATCATGGCGGGGGCCATGATATTTCCCCAGGTTTCATGGCGCCTCTTCTTATTCCATTGCCTCCCTGGGGCTCCTGGTCGGCCGCGCACATGCCGCCGGTCATGAGGTGCACCCCCCCCTCTTGGACACCTCCCTCTTGGCCGCTCCCGATTCTCACTTCCCCCCTGGGCTCGCCGCCGAGATAAAACACAGTGAGAATCAGTCGTCGTCCTCGCCGTCAGCCGCTGGCGTCCTGATGGCGAGGCGGCCGTCCAGCGGCCCCGCGGTCCTTTCGGCGGCCGTCTGACGCCGCCGCGGGCCGAGGCCGGCGTTGTCGACGTCGACGTCGCCCACCGCCGTCGGGGGTCGAGGATAGAGGTGCCTGGACGTGTTTGGCCGCTCCTCGGCTGCGGAGGCGCCTTCGGGGACCTCCAGAGACACGCTCGGGACTCGCAGGAGAACAAACGGCATAAACATGACCTTCGGGGCTCCGCGCGGATTTCTCGGATCGGCGCTGGGCCCCCGACGTGGCGCGCTCCGACCGTGGAAATCCGCGCGGACCTCAGAGATGTCAGTTGTTACACCATGGACGTCTTCGGTCCCCTCTGGGCTGCGGAGGCGCCTCTGGGGACATCCGGAGACACGTCGGGGCAAGGTCGGTCGTCCCTCCACCTTACCGCTAGACGCCTTCACGTTGGTGCAGAAGTTCCGAGGCGGGGTTTTATACATGACCACCGCGTGGAGGGTCAGTTTTCGGAGCCTCGGCAGGCGGTGGATATCGACAAATTCGGGCCCCCGGGGGTCGAAATATATCCACGTCCACCGCCCGCTGGGGCACCAGGACGTCGGTTCCCAGGCGGTGGATTTGGATACATTCCCGCCTCGCAGAAGTGAGCCAGGAAGGGGGGAACGACAAATGACATAAACAGAAAAACTCGGAGGTCCGCGCGAATTTCTTGGATCCGCGCGCGGAGCGCGCAAGGGGCCCCAGCGCCGATCCGAGATTTCCGCGCGGTCCTCAGAGTTTTTATGTTTATGTCATTCTTCGTTCCCCTAAGGAAGGCCCAGCGGTGCCCAGAGCCGCCCCTGCGGAGGTCCAGTTTTGGGGGACGGTCGTCGAGCGATGCTGGGTTCCTGCGTGTCTTCGGCTCTCCGCTGCCTCCCTCTGCACCTGGCCGGCTCCGCGCGCCCCCCCAGCCATCCAGGAGGGGGAACAAACACACACAGAGGCACAATGAATCGTCGATGCCCAGAAATTATAGGAAAATATGGGAAGTGGGGGGGGAGACGAACACCCAGAACATATAAGTAGGAAAATATAGGAAAACATGTAATTTGTGTGTATCTGCTTGTGTGTCCCTGGGCCCCCTCGAGCATGGCCTTTGCTTCACCCCTGCTGAGGCCAGCGCGACACAGAGCGCATGCTCGCCAAGGCAGAAGTGCCATCGGCTCTTCCCCTTCTTGAGCCTTCGCGGGGGCCTCTGCAGAGGCCTCTCCAGAGCCTCCCGCCCAGGCGAGGATAGCCTGGTCGTCGCTGAGCCTCCGTGGGGTCTTCCGCGTCCCTCCTGGGGCCTCCGGAGGCCTCCGGAGACTTGCACGGTGTGCCCCAGTAGTGGGCCGCGTCTTCGACGAGGTCGAGAGGTTGGCGTTCTTCCTCGGCACGAGTTGGCAGGAGGATGGCGGACGCAAGACAGCAGCGGCTTCCGCCAGCGGACGCCGACGGAAGTACACATCCTTCCAAGAGGCACACTTGTTTGGGCCCCGGTCTTTTTGCAGAGCTAGCCATCTGACGTGCCAGGTCTCATGGTCAGAGTTTAAGATTTCATTGCATGCGGCCCTTTTCGGACACCATGTTCTGTCTTCTGTTCGTCGTCTTCCTTTCTTTCCTCTCTCTCTCTCTCGCCATCGTCGTCCTCCTCCTGTCCCCCTGGCACTGATACGTTTTATTGGTTAGCTCGTCGCGCCCGATTTCACGCCCCAGTTCCCCGGGTTGAACAGAGAGCCGGTTTCATCGGCAATTTTTGGGTGCGTGAGAAATGACGTCTAAGAGTCTAACCACTTCCTGCAACTGGTGATGTGATGCGACAGTGCTTTTGGGTCGCTGCTTCGGCCTTCACCCCTCCCGATTGGGGTTGCGGATCTGCTTCGCGATTTGTTATCACTTGTCTCATGATGCGAACGGCACGCCCGCGAGCTGACAGGATCAGCATCAAAGCAGATGGATGTTGTTATGGGACAGTGACGCTCGGCCTCTCACGTCACGCATCGCCTGCACTTCCTTCCCCCCTTGGGTACCACAGGCGCAGATGGTGGCGCCGGCGCCGAGTGGCCTAAGCGGCCCGCGCAGCTCCGCGGGCCGCACCCCCTCGGGTTCCTGGTGAAGGACCGCTTCCCCGAGTTCAGGCAGCGGGGCCCTGGATCAGGGGGCCGAGTCAGGGATAGTTGTGGCGATGACAATGACGACAGCGATGACGCTGATGACAGACGACGACAATGATGATACTGATGATGATGGTGATGTTGATGATGATGGTGATGGTGATGCTAAAGATGATGGTGATGAGTATGGTGATGGTGATGCTGCTGATGATGATGATGATGATGATGCTGCTGATGATGATGATGATGATGATGACGGTGGTGGTGATGATGATGATGATGATGTTGTTGCTGATGGTGGTTATGGTGATGATGATGATGATGGTGATGATGATGCTGATAAAGATGATGGTGATGCGGATAATGAGGATGATGTTGATGAGGATGTTGGTGATCCTAACGAGGATAACCTTGATGATGCTGCTGTTGTTGGTGGTGATAATGACCGTGGCGACGGCAATGCTGATGATGTTGGCGACCGATGCTACTGACATGTGGTACGACGGTCCGATTCCGAGGGTGGTGATCTGAATGGTAATTTTGCTGGGGACAATGGGGATGTTGGTTGTATACTCGATGATGCTGCTGCTGATGATATCGATTACGATGACGATTCCGAGGATGGCGGCGCCGACGATGATGAGGCGGGTGACGCTCATTAGCATGCTCATGATCATACTTATATGGCAGCTGATGGTGATGGCGATGCTGATGCAACTGATGATGATGGCGATGCTGCTATTGATGTTAATGCTGATGCCTACGCCGATGATCAGGATACTGCTGCAACTGGTTTGATGACGATGATAGTCATACAGGTGTTGATCATAGTACTGATGGTGATGACGGTGATGGTGATGGCGATCCTGACAATGATGATGCTCATGGTGGGGACGTGGCCAGGGACGAGGCGATCTTTGTGATGCTACTATAATAACGGCGACAATGGTTATGACAGTCAGCCCGCATAGTAAGGACGAGCAATTTTCCAAGGTTTCCCCTGCACTCTCGTCCACTCGGCCCTTCCCTGGCACCTTTCGCTGGCTAGCCCTTTGAGGTAACCTTGGGGCGGGCTGCGTTCGTCGGTTGCGCGGCGCGACGCCCCTTAGGGGCCAAGCCTAACTTATGCGCGATTGGCATGGCACCCTTGGCAATCTTCTGGCCCACCTTTGCCGTCCTTCTACTCACGAGGGCTGCGGCCCCAAGGATGCGAGACGCGAAGCGCACCTTTGCCCATCCTTGGGCACGCTTCCTTGCCTTCTCACTCACGGGTGGGCGCGGCCCTAGGGATGCTGGAAGGGTAGGACACCCTTGGCCATTCGCCGCCCGTTTTGCCGCTTTTCATCAGCGGGGGTCAGCGGCCCCAAGCACGCGCGACGCTCAGGGTACATTTGCTCATTCTTGGACAAGTCTTCCCTGCTCTCCCACTCACGGGTGGACGCGGTCCTGATGATGCTGGATCTGCAGGGCACCCTTGGTCACCCTCCGCCCTGTTTACGTCATCCTTTCATTCGTGGAGGGCCGCGGTCCAAAGACTGTGTGACGGGGAAGGCACCTTTGCTCATCGTTGCACACGTCATCCTTGAGAAATCTTGGATGCTCGTTGGTACCTCCTCGCTCCTAGGTGCATCGTGTGGATGCCTTCGTGTGTCTGTTTTCGATTAGGGGCAGTACGGAAACCATCACGCGCGCGAGCGCGCGCGAGTGAACATGGTCACCCGCCTGTGTGCGCGCGCAGGACATTCTGTGTATGTTTACAATGGGCAACAGGCATGTGGGCCTTGAAGCGAAAGTGAGCCTTTAGCGGTAACCGATTGTATTCCCAAGCTAACATGGATGCTTCTTGTGTTCCGTACGATGGGCAATGCAGAAAGCCCCACGCGCGCGAACGCGCGCAGGTGACTATTGTCACCCGCCCGTGTGCGCGCGTCAAGCATTTTGTGTCTGTGTCGTATGCAAAAACGCCATGTGGGCCTGGAAAATTGAACCATTCGCGGTGACCGATGTGATTTCCAAGTTAACATTTTGTTTTGGATATGGCGGTTTATAACGAAAGCCCCACGCGCGCGAACGCGCGCGGTTGACCATGGTCAACCGCCTATTTGCGCGCGTCGAGTATTCATTGTTTGGCTTGGAGTCAGGAACGCCGCCATGCTATGCTGGCTTGGAAACTAAGCTGAACTCTTCGCGGTGGTCGATGTGATTTCCAAGTTAACATGGGTTATTTTGTATGGTCTTTGCGATGGGCAGTACCGAACGCCTCACGCGTGCGAACGCGCGCGGGTGACCATGTTCACCGGGCTGCGTTCGCTCGTAGAGCTTTCTTTGTTATTCAGAACAAGGCAGTCGCCATGCTTGCCTGGAAACTGCAGTAAACCCTCAGCGGGGCCCGATGGGATTTCCAAGTTTGCATGGGTTCCGTTGTGTGGTTATATAGGCAATACCGGAAGCCCCACGCGCGCGAACGCGCGCGGGTGACCATGGTCCCCCGCTTGCGCGCGCGCGTTTAGCATTCCGTGTTTTTTTTAGAGTCGAGGAGTCGCCGTGTTGGTTTGGAAACTAAAGTGAGCCCGTAGCGGTGGCCGATTGGATTTCCAATGTAGTTTGGGTTCTTTTGTATGTCCGCACCGCGCGATGGGACTGGCTTTGGTTAGACACTCTCACTCTGCTGTACCGCTTTCGCGCATATGGACACAGACGGGATGCGAGAGTCGGGAGGGGGAAGGAGGAGGAGGGACGACGAGGAGGAGGAGGCGGATGAGGAGGAGGATAAGGATGATTGGGAGTAGGAGGAGGAAGAGGAGGAGGAGGAGGAGGAAAAGGAGGAGGCGGAGGAGGAGGAGGAGAAGGAGGAGGAGGAGGACGACGAGGACGAGGACGAGGAAGAGGAGGATGAGGAGGAGGGAGGGGGGAAAAGGAAGGGAGGATAGATGGAGGAGGGAAGGAGGAAAATGATGGACTCTTTTTTTTGTTTCCGATTATGGGCCATGCAGAGAACCCCACGCGAGGGAATTGGCGCGGGTGACCATGGTCACCCGCTTGCGTGCGCGCGTAGAGCGTTCGTTCAATATTGCTTGGGATTTGGAAAATATCAGATTGTTTTGACGCCGTATCGTGTAGTGAAGTTTGCATGTCTAGCAGGCCTCCTCGCTGCCGCGGACTGTCAACCCCTTCCCTGTTCTCAGGCAGCGGGCTTGTGTTTTCCACCGCCCCTAGGGTTTCTAGGCCACACCCGGACGCTAGTGTGCCCTACTTGAAGATACACGTTTTTACCTAACAGCGAAGACTGATAGGTTTCTAGTGGGCTCAGAAGAAAGCATCTTGACCCCCAGGGGGGTCTGGGCGGGTGCCGGGAGAAGCCGGGGAACCCGGGGACTCCCCAGGATTCCTGTAGATTCCTACAGATTCTCCTCCCAGAACACAATTCCCAGGCCACATTTTGAATGCCCGGAGCCAACTGTAGGCCACTTCGTGTTCTTCGTGTTCCCAGAACACCATTCCCAGGCCACATTTTGAATGCCCGGAGCCAACTGTAGGCCACTTCGTGTTCTTCGTGTTCCCAGAACACCACTCCCAGGCTACATTTTGAATGCCCGAAGCCAACTGTAGGCCACTTCGTGTTCTTCGTGTTCCCAGAACACCATTCCTGTACCATATTTTCATTCCCCAGAACCAATTTTGGGCCACTTCGTGTTCTTCGTGTTCCCAGAACACCAGTCCTGTGCCATATTTTGAATGCCCGGGCTGAGGCAGGCTGAGAGGCTGAGGCTGAGGCACGAGGCAGGCTGAGGCTGAGGCTGGGGCAGGCTGAGGCTGAGGCAGGCTGAGGCTGAGGCTGACGGCTGAGGCCGAGGCAGGCTGAGGCTGAGGCTGAGGCAGGCTGAGGCTGAGGCTGAGGCAGGCTGAGGCTGAGGCTGAGGCAGGCTGAGGCTGAGGCTGAGAGGGCTGAGGCTGAGGCTGAGGCTGAGGCTGAGGCAGGCAGGCTGAGGCTGGCCGAGGCAGGCTGAGGCTGAGGCTGAGGCCGAGGCAGGCTGAGGCTGAGGCTGAAGCTGAGGCTGAGGCTGTGGCTGAGGCTGTGGCTGAGGCTGTGGCTGAGGCTGAGGCAAGCTGCGGCTGAGGCAGGCTGAGGCTGAGGCTGATGCAGGCTCAGGCTGAGGCAGGCTGAGGCTGAGGCTGAGGCAGGCTGAGACTGAGGCTGATGCTGAGGCAGGCTGAGGCTGAGGCCGAGGCAAGCCGAGGCGGGCTGAGGCTGAGGCTGAGGCTGATGCTGAGGCAGGCTGAGGCTGAGGCAGGCTGAGGCTGAGGCTGAGGCAGGCTGAGGCTGAGGCAGGCTGGGGCTGAGGCCGAGTCTGGCTCAGGCGGAGACAGGCTGAGGCTGAGACTGAGGCTGAGGCTGAGGATGAGGCCAAGGCAGGCCGAAACTGAGACAAGGTGAGGCTGAATGGGGGGGGGGAAGGGGGGGGAGGAGGGGAGGCTGAGGCAGGCTGAGGCCGAGGCAGGCTGAGGCCGAGGCAGGCTGAGGCTGAGGCTGAGGCAAGCCGAGGCAGGCTGAGGCTGAGGCTGAGGCTGAGGCTGAGGCTGAGGCTGAGGCAGGCTGAGGCTGAGGCTGACGCAGGCTGAGGCCGAGGCAGGCTGAGGCTGAGGCTGAGGCAGGCTGAGGCTGAGGCCGAGGCAGGCTGAGGCTGTGGCTGAGGCAAGCCGAGGCAGGCTGAGGCTGAGACTGAAACTGAGGCAGGCTGAGGCATCCGTAGGAATCCATAGGAATCCTTAGGACTCCCTAGGAATCCTCAGGAATCCGTCATCCTTAGGAATTCGTAGGCATAGTGAAGCATCCTCAGGAATCCTTAGGAATCCTTAGGGTTCCCTAGGAATCCTCAGGAGTCCCCAGGAATCCGTAGGAATCAGGATTCCCAAGGATTCCTAAGGTTTCCTAAGGATCCCTATGGATTTCTAAGGATGCCTAAGGATGCCTTAGGAATCCCTAGGAATCCTTAGGATTTCATTGGATCCTAAGGCCGTTGCCACTGTGACTGTCATTGCGAATGCGACTGCGACTGCGAGAACAGCAGAATTCTACAACTGGATTCTCACCTGAATCTTAAGGGGAATGCTTCCAGATATACTTATACACATCGCTGTTAGGTTGCTTTGTCGGGATAATTGCATTTCTTATACAGGCAGCAACTTTCGTAGCTGTTGGCCTGCACGTGTACTGTTTAATCTTACTGCTCACTCACTTACACGTGGAGCCTCTTGGCTGAGAGCGTGCTGTCCTCTCTCTCTCTCTCTCTTTCCACCTGTTTGTCCTCCTTTTTCTTCTTCTCCTCGCTTTTTTGGTACGTACCGGCCTATCCTCGATTTGCGGCCATGTCTTGTTTCCTACCTAGGCTCTGCCTAGAAGGGTTCTTACTCTCTTAGCTTAAAGGGGCCGGCCAGTGTAATGCGCCCCGGGCGGTTCCCCCAGGATCCGCCCCGCGGTTCCCCCAGTTGCGTCCCCTTAGCTTAGCGTTGCTTAGTATTCCCTACCTAGGCTCTGCCTAGAAGGGTTCTTACTCTGTTAGCTTCAAGGGGCCGGGCAGTGTAATGCGCCCCGGGCGGTTCCCCCAGGATCCGCCCCGCGGTTCCCCCAGTTGCGTCCCCTTAGCTTAGCGTTGCTTATCTCATCTTAGCTTAGCTTATTTCATCTTAGCTTAGCTTAGCTTCATCTTAGCTCAGGTTTATCTTAGCTTAGCTGACCTTCATCATAGCTTCGCTGAGCTTTAGCATGGCAGAGCACAGTAGAGCATTGCATAGCGTAGCATAGCATAGCGCAGTACAGCATATCATAGCATAGCCCAGCATAGCATAGCATAGCATAGCGCAGCATAGCATAGCATAGCATAGCATAGCATAGCATAGCATAGCATAGCATAACATAGCATAGCATAGCATAGTGCAGCACAGCACAGCACAGCATAACACAGCGCAGCATAGCATAGCATAGCATAGCATAGCATAGCATAGCGCAGCATATCATGGCATAGCATAGCATAGCATAGCATAGCAACTACTGCTGCTTTCCTAGGGGCTCCAACTTCTAGGTAGGGTCGCACTGGGGTAATTAGTTCTTCTTCCAGCGCTGACGCCGTAGGGTAATCCGCAGCATCCGCCGCCGCAGGTAGTTCGCTTTGTACTCAGGCTGGCGCTGGGGCAGTGTGCCAGGCTCTGTGGACTGGACGTGGTCGCTTTTCCTCCTTACGCGCCGTGCCCGCTTGCCATCTTGTCCCTCTTTCTCGCTTCCTCCCCTCTCGATAACTTGGCCACGGCAGGCTATCTCGAGTCAGTTTTGGTTTGTCCCTGGCAACAACTGTGCGGGTGCATACTGCACGCTAGCAGTGTGAACGTTCGGCCCGTGCGGCGCTGCAGACGCCAGGCTGCTTCAACTACAACTCCTCTGCGTGCGCTTTGATGGGAGTTTGTACCGGAGCAGTGGCTGTGTGTGGCGGCATCCAGGTTGTGCGCTGAGGGAAAGTATATTGTTTTGACAACGCATTATGCACAACATCGCGCACCTGGGAGTGCCACCTACGGATGCGAGCCAGGCAGGGCGCCCTTGCGCATCCGTGCCGTTGCAGTGCGCACAGCGTCGCACACCTGGGGGAGCCACCTGAGGATGCGGGTCAGGCCGTGCGCCCTTGCGCAGCACAGCGTGCCACACTTGGGGGCTCCACTTGGGGATGCGGGCCAGACAGGGCGCCCTTGCGCAGTCTTGCCGCCGCACTGTGCGCAGCGTGGCGCACCTGGGGGCGCCACGCAAGACTGCGGGCCAGGCAAAACGCCCTTGCACAACCTTGCCGCCGCAGTCTGGAGCGCGTTGCGAACCGGGGGGGCGCTGCCAAGGTTGCGGACCAGGCATGCCGCCCTGGCACATCCTGGCCGCAATGTGCGCACACTCGTGCATCTGGCGAGTAGCGCTTGAGAGTGCGGACCAGCCAGGGCGCCCTGGCGCATCCTCGCCGTCGAGGTCGGCGCCGTCCATAGCTGCCCCTGAGTGTAGGCGCCGTGACCAAAGGAAAGCGCGACCTTGAAGGGCACCTTTGCGTCCTTGCGTTGGCCTTGCTGTGGCCCAGGCGCCAGTTCGGCTGGCATGGGGGTGCGTTAAGGTGCTCGTGCATCCCTCGGCATTCGGCTGCACCCCGCTCGGACAACGCCAACATGGCTTTCCAAGGCCCTTCCTTACCGCGCATCCTTTCTATATGGGTTGACCGGAATGGTGATCATGGTGAGGAGCGGGGGGGGGGAAGGATGAGGGAGGAGGACAAGGAGGAGGAGGAGGAGGAGGAGAACGAGGAGGAGGAGGAGAAGGAACGGGGTAAGGGACGGTGAACGAGGTGGGGGTGGGGGAGAACAGAGGAACAAGGATGGGAAAGAAAAAAAAGGGGAGAGGGGGGGGACAAGGAGGTAACAGGGATGAGGGGTAGGAATTTGCGAGCTGAGGTAATGGATGGGGGACTGAGGAGGGAGGCGTGCCGGGGGGAGGAATGATGAGGAGGGCGGAATGAGGCAGGAGGGGTGAGGGTTTTGGGAAGAAGAGCGGGGGCGGAACGAGAAGGGAAAAGTAAGGGGACAAGAGCAAGGAGAGATAAGGAAGGACGGAAAGGAGAGATGCATGACCAAGCAGCCAGGTCTAAAAGCGGGCCGCTGCAGGAGGAAGGAGGGAGATGGAGAAGAGTGCAAGCTGGGTGCGCTCGCGCCTCATCTGACATCCAATCCCTCCTTCCCAACCCTTCCAGTGGCGCCGATTTTTCTCTATCCGCGGACGCGTGTCATACAGTCAACCCGAATAGTAAGGATGGGCCGCCGTCCCAAGTGTACCCTTGCATCCTTGCCTCCTCGGCCCGCTCTCGTTGGCCGCGCCCCGCTCGAAGAGCTTCGACGTGGCCTTCCGAGGCCCTCGCGTCCTTATCGCGCATCCTTGCTATACAGGTTGGCTGTGTCCGCGGGCGCGTGTCATAGCCGACCTGCGACGCCCACAAAACACCTCGTGTGCTGTGCGCTGTGGGAACACAGGGGAGCTGCGTGCCGTGGAGGCGGAGGTGGCGGGTGAGCAGGACGATGCGCGGGAGGACGATGAGCGGGAGGAGGAGGAGGAGGTGGAGGAGGAGGAGGAGGAGGAAAAGGAGGAGGGCGAGATGAGGGAGGAGGAGGAGGAGAAGTCGGAGAAGGAGGAGGAAGAGGAGGAGGAGGGGGAGCAGCAGCAGAAGCAGCAGCAGCAGGAACTTGAGCGGAATGACCCAGGAGGAGCAGGAGGAGCATGGGAAGGCGGAGGAGGGGAAATGAGGGGGGGGCGACAGCGAGAACGAAAGGCTCGGATTCAGAGAAGTGGTCCGCGCTGGGGCGAGGCGAACAGGAGCAGCAGGAACTGGAGTGGAAGGCATGGGAGGAACAGGAGGACCAGGGGAAGGCGGAGGAGGGGAAATGAATGGGCGGGACCATGCTGAACTGAAGCAAGAGTCGGATCCAGAAAAATGGTCCGCGCTGGGGCGAAAGCGCCGTTCTGAACGACGGGAGCAAAGCGCCGATCCGAAAACGAGGCCCACGCTGCAGCGGGAACACCATCTTGAAACACCGAAGACAATCGGATTGCAAAACAAACATGTGACAAACATAATATTTGAGCTCCTGTGTGTGACAACAGTGCGCGGAGGGAGAGGAGATCTCCCGAGCAATTTCAGGGGAGGAGGGAGAGTGCTCAATGTGCTTAATTTTGGAAACGAGGGGGGAGAAAGGGCGCGGAGGGGCGAGAGCGAGGAGAGGGGAGGAGTGGAGGCGCGAGGAGCGGCGGGGGGGGGGGCAGGACAGGCCAGGAGATGGGAGGAGGGGGGAGTGGGGAAGAGCAGCAGCAGCAGCAGCAGCAGCAGCAGCAGCAGCGGCAGCTGAAGGGGCGCCCCCAGCGCCTCGGCCTGCTGCCCGCGCCAGGGAGATGGCCTGCAAGTGCAACGGCATGCTGCCGACGCTGAACGGGCCCCCGCGCCGGAGCCACTCGCTGGGCGCCGCGGAGGAGAAGGGGCAGAGGGGGGGGGAGGAGGCAGCATCGAAGTTCCAGGCTCAAAGATCGAGTGTTGGGTTC